GTTTTTAAAAGGCTCAGGAATCTTTTGCAGGTATTTAGAGTTAATTTGTTGATTCAGATGATTAGGTTAATAAGTCATTTACTTTTTTACCAAAATCATCAATATTAAAACAATAAAAGGCTTGAACTACTTCAGTTGGTGTGCAATGAATCTAAAATATATGAAAGTTTAATGTTTATCAGTACTTTACAGAAAATAATGAACTTTATCACAATATGCTAATTTTTTTAGAAGGACCTGTAGATGTTCTCCCACAGACCAAAAACATGAAAGGTTTATTTATTACTTTCAGATGTCCAGAGGTGTGAGCGTTTGTGTCCCTGTACTGGACCTCTCACAGTGACTGCTGGACATGAGCACCTGTGTGGATGGATGGAGCTGGCATGGATGAAAGTGCACCAGTGGGGAATCAGAATCATCAAGTAAACTTTCCAAGAAAGGTTATAGGACTAAGCATTCCAACATTCCAGTAGTTTATGTTTCTGACACTAAAGAGTCTTTTTACATTGCAAGACCTGGAATTTCATGTGATGACCTCTTGTTATGATTCTGGACAGGTGGAGGAGTTTGGTCGGGTCAAATACGGGGTTATTGTTAATAATCTTGTAGACCTGTATTAAATCTCCATGGCATCTTCTACAGTGCAGTGATGGTAACTGAAGGAGTACAGTCTGGGAGTGAAATTTCAATCCTTCTCTTTCACTGCTTGTAATCAGTGTTTCTCATAATACACTGTCTGGCCAAAAACAAAATCACCACCATAAAAAAGGTCATATTCTTAATATTTTGTTGGACCGCCTTTAGCTTTGATAATGGCACATTCACTGTGGTGTTGTTTGCATAAGCTTCTGCAACGTCACAAGATTTATTTCCATCCATGTTGCATTATTTTTTTCACCAAGATCTTGCTTTGATGATGGTAGAGTCTGACCTTCTCCAGCACATCCCAAAGATTCTCAATGGACTCTGTGGAGCCAATCCATGTGTGAAAATGATGTCTCATGCTCCCTGAACCACTCCTTCACAATAAGAGCCCAATGAATCCTGCCATTGTCATCTTGGAATATGGCCATCATGGCGTCAGAGAAGAAATAATCCATTGATGGAATAACCTGGTTATTCTGTATATTCAGGTAGTCAGCTGACATTCTTTGAGCACAAACTGTCGCTGAACCTGGACCTGACCAACTGTATCAACCCCACATCATAGACTGGTTTAGATCATCTCATGTTTGATGACCTCTGCACATTGCCACCCCATAGATGCATGCATCATCTGCATATAGCTTTGCCTTCTTGTTATAAACCGTGTTGGTTTATCATTTCTAAATATCACAAATGAGGACTGACCCTAGAACTGAGCCTTGATGAGTTCCAATCATGACTCTTGTCCAGTCTGACATGACTCCATCACTTAGGACTCAATACATTGTAACATTAGTTTTGTTCAGTTGTGTGAATGAAATTACACTTTCTGTGCATAGATGTAAACATTTCAATGATTTTTCTGTGATGTGTATATTTGTTTTGTTTTTCTGAAAACACATCAAAAAATGTTCACTGAATTTACTGTTTAAAAACCCATCAGGACTCATTGCTTTCTATAAGTCCAGCACTATAACGTTTTAAACAACTTGTGAAAATTTATGAAAGTTTTGTGACATTGAAGGTGGAAAAGTCATCTCTGGAAGCCTCTTTTGGATGTATACAGTGGAGAAAATAAGTATTTAGTCAGTCACCAATTGTGCAAGTTCTCCCACTTAAAAAGATGAGAGAGGCCTGTAATTGACATCATAGGTAGACCTCAACTATGAGAGACAAAATGTGAAAAAAAATTTGAGAAAATCATTTTGTCTGACTTTTAAAGAATTTTTTTGCAAATAATGGTGGAAAATAAGTATTTGGTCAATAACAAAAGTTCTTCTCAATACTTTGTTGTATATCCTTTGTTGGCAATGACAGAGGTCAAACGTTTTCTGTAAGTCTTCACAAGGTTGGCACACACTGTTGCTRGTATGTTGGCCCATTCCTCCATGCAGATCTCCTCTAGAGCAGTGATGTGTTGGGGCTGTCGGCGGGCAACACGGACTTTCAACTCCCTCCAAAGGTTTTCGATGGGGTTGAGATCGGGAGACTGGCTAGGCCACTCCAGGACTTTGAAATGTTTCTTACGAAGCCACTCCTTTGTTGCCCTGGCAGTGTGCTTGGGATCATTGTCATGCTGAAAGACCCAGCCACGTTTCATCTTCATTGCTCTTGCTGATGGAAGGAGGTTTGCACCCAAAATGTCACAATACATGGCCCCATTCATTCTTTCATGTACACGGACCAGTCGTCCTGGTCCCTTTGCAGAGAAACAGCCCCAAAGCATGATGTTGCCACCCCCATGCTTCACAGTTGGTATGGTGTTCTTTGGATGCAACTCCGCATTCACTTTCCTCCAAACACGACGAGTTGTGTTTTTACCAAATAGTTCTACTTTGGTTTCATCTGACCATATGACATTCTCCCAATACTCTTCTGGAACATCCAAATGCTCTCTAGCAAACTTCAGACGTGCCTGGATATGGACTGGCTTAAGCAGGGGGACACGTCTGGCGCTGCAAGATCTGAGTCCCTGGYGTCGTAGTGTGTTGCTGATGGTAGCCTTTGTAACATTGGTCCCAGCTTTCTGCAGGTCWTTCACTAGATCCCCCCTTGTGGTTCTAGGATTTTTCCTCACCGTTCTTGTGATCATTTTGACCCHACGGGCTGAGATCTTGCGTGGAGCCCCAGATCGAGGGAGATTAGTAGTGGTCTTGTATGTCTTCCATTTTCTGATTATCGCTCCCACAGTAGATTTCTTCACACCAAGCTGCTTGCCTATTGCAGATTCAGTCTTCCCAGTCTGGTGCAGGTCTACAATTTGGTTTCTGGTGTCCTCCGACAGCTCTTYCGTCTTCACCATAGTGGAGTTTGGAGTGTGACTGTTTGAGGTTGTGGGCAGGTGTCTTTTATACTGTTAACGACTTCAAACAGGTGCCATTAATACAGGTAATGAGTGGGGGAAAGAGGAGCCTCTTAAAAAAGAAGTTACAGGTCTGTGACAGCCAGAAATCTTGCTTGTTTGTAGGTGACCAAATACTTATTTTCCACCATTATTTGCAAAAAAWTYYTTWAAA